AGAGTAAGAAATTTTTTTGGAATTTTGATTATTTTATTGGAGTTCCGGGTAGCACCTCAAGAGTTCTAACGATAATTATTAAGGTTCAAAGCGCTCAGACCAATATATAACAAGTTCTCGCTATTTTTCGTATCACCGATTAAGAAAATATTCTAAGTTCCAATAAGAATAAAATTTTTTTAGAATTTTGATTATTTTATTGGAGTTCCGGGTAGCACCTCAAGAGTTCTACAAATAATTCTAATGATATTTTTAATTATTTCCGACGATTAAGCTGTTATCGTCAATTTTGTGATAACGTTTTGTGAAGTTAGCACCCCATACTTTCAATAATGGATTTTTTGTCTAATTCGCCGGAACTATTTATAAATTTTATGGAGAACTCTAGAACTCTTTGGGGTGCATTCAGAACTCTAAAAAAATTGATTTTTTTAAAATGGGGTGCCAACTTCACAGAGGTCTTTTATTTTTGATCTGCTGGAAAATGATATGCTAGGTTCACGAACATCATAGGTAAGTTCTGCAAATAAAATTTAATAATGCACTATACGAAACGTACGCGCCTATCGGGAGTAATTCCAGTTCGTTAATAATAATATTTCCATTTTCGAAGTATAATACCTCATGAAACATAAGCTAAACATATTTTAGAAGTAAAATATAATTACAAATGAGTCACCATGAAATGAAAGAAGGTTTCTCCCTTGAATCTTGAATCTCTTGATGTGCTTTTTTTTCGAATAACATAGGGAGACGGGTTCCCTTTGTCGCTAAAGTAAACGTCGACTACTGCTAATTGCGGGATCACGTGCCTCGAGGTCGCGGAGTGTATTCACGATAAGGTTGTATTCGCATGACCTTAACGAGACCTCTAGACGAATAAACTCAGCGATCATGCATGTTGTTCGAAACGAAAAAGAATACTCAAGCGATTATAACCACTATCAAGGCAAAAATATAAATTTGTTGACTTTATAATTGTTTCGCGTCTATTTTAATGAATATAAAAAAGTACCATCTTTCTTCTTTACACGACTCCGTGATATATCTCTTACATTTTGAACCCGCTAAACGGTCGTGCAAATGAAACCGAAACAACCTTGCTAAAAGATCGCGCGTGGATCTTTTTTCCCGGCTCTTTCTTCTCGCCGGTTGATAGCCAGTGTTAATTCTCTTCGCCTCCTGCGCCGGCGTATAGTAATGACGGACATTAACCAATTAGCGCCAGCGCTACTCTCCTCATCTTTCTCCGCCGCGATCCCAGGCTACTCTTAAACGGCCCGCAGGAAGACGCTCCAAAACGGTCGACTATTTTCGGTGATATGTGCTAACGAAATACGCGAGCACCGGAACCTCGGGCGAAACGCGGACGGATATTATTTCTCCGGAGACCGCGCCTTTTTGTGTCCGCGCGCGCGGTGTCTTTTGCGGACGCAATTAATCTCTAACCCTTTGCTGTACCTAAACGCTTCAAATATCATGCTTTATTTCTTGGAATTCTGTATGCAAGTTAATTCGAAGTAAAATATCAATGCAAGAAAATTTTATTAATTGTTAGCATTATGTAAGCCTTACTTAAGATTTTATATTATCTAAATTGTATCAACATCAAATTTTATAAATAATATTTTTCGGGGTAAAATAATATTAAAAAATATTATAAATTTCAATATTAGATAATTCACTGTCAGATAATTTTTGAATTGAGCTTAAACAACGTACATTAACGTACATTAAATGTTAAAATGTATAAAATAGTAGAAGGAAAATTTCTAATCTAATTATCTATGATTTTCAAGCTCAATAATAATACTAAATTATATTAGACCATTATATATTAAGCTTATGACAGATATTCTAAGAAATGGCAGCAGTTACTTAATAAAATAACCGGATATTTCAAAATTTATAACTCTAATCTCTATTCTTGCGTCCTTTCCTTTATCTCAAAGACCAGGTACTAGTTAGACTGTAATAAAGGGAACGATGGAGATCGTAAAGGGTTAAAAATGAATATTTTAAACATGACGGTCGCTCCGAAAATATGCAGAACGATGAGATTGTTGACCAAATTACATGCAGATCAACTCCAAGGAATCTCATGATTAAAAGCATAAGTAATAACTAAAAATGTATTTACTAGTTCAAAGCTCTGTGCGACTTTGAGATGCTTCTGTCTTTGCTTCATAACTGATGTTTAAATATTCATGTATACCTATACCGGGACGAGCATAATTGAATATTTATGGATGTTCGAGGTAAAAGCTTTGGAAACTACATTTCTATATTCCGCAATATTCTATGCTCTTTAAATCTATCGAAATATTATATCTATGGAACGAACAGCAAATTCCGTATTTTGTAATTTGCCACATAGTTTTGTATAATATTATACGAGATGTATATGCAACGAGCTAGTCTCCGAAAGTGTAGTGATTTTTGTTGTCGTAAATAACATAAACCAACTTTAATGTTAAAAATAGAATTTTATAACAAACATTATCATGACATTACGAAATAAAAACAGTTGTTCATTTTATATGACAAATATATAATGTTTTTCTAGTTTACATTAACTTAATTTCGACTCTGTTTCCCTCTCTTTAAAATTTTTAAAAATATTCTCATGCTGCCACAATATGCAATATGCTGTTTATATTTTCTTTCTTTTTTTGTCAAAATCCTATTTACAACAAAATAAAATAAATTTAAAATGGACGGTGTTAATCAAGATTTCAAATCGCTTTGAAAAATTAATAATAAACAATTCTCCAGGAAATTAAATGTGACGCGTTAAAATTTAATTAAAATAACCTCAAATTATAATTCAACAATCTCGTTGCATAGTTGTATAAGCGTGTTTTGCGCGGCATATTTCGCAGCATTTTTCTCATAGAGAAGCTATCGGCCAATAATTTCTCGGCGCACTGATTCAAAATATTGTATAAATAAATGTGATATGGTACTCACCTCAACTATGCGAAGTTATACTCATCCGACGGACACGGTGCAGGAACGGTCGAACGCGCGGGCGCGCGCGCGCACACAGACACACACACGCGATAACAGGAGGGTGGACGAAGATCAGGTGGAGTTCGGCACCGGTGTACCGAGCGAAAGTTAGGCTAGGTCACATCAACGCCAGCTTACGTCGAAGACGATCTATCTCTCCCGCCGCGCACACCGCCCGTTGAGGAGGGTCGTCTTCATGCACGCGCGAATTACGAGCGTCTTGACGTCACTGCCTAAAGCATCTAACTTCAGGATTCTATACCCTTTTGAACGCCAACCGATGCACACTCGATAGTCGGCTATCGTCAACACGCATATGATGCATTCGGAACGCGCGATCGTCTTTTGAAAGAGAACGCGCTCGCTCACTCGCTCGCGTCGTGTTCGATTCGCGGGGGTCAGATAACCTTTTTCGCGTTTTGTCGTTCCTGTCTCCACGATATTCTTTTCGATGGAAAACGATCTCCCGTTATCGAATTTTTCATTCACTCGAGCGTATCGTCATACGTTTATGCAGAAGGATGTCGAGTGATGGCTGTGAGTTTCGATGACGACAGTTTCATCGCGTTGCATTTAGACAAGTGACGGTCTCGCATGATAGCTCAAAGCGATACACGATTACATGGATCCTGTTACACGTCGATCAGCCTGCATGTTCTGGCGAATAATTTATAATTCAGCAATGCATTAGCAGCGATCTCGTAGCGACCAAAGAGCGTTCGATACGGCCAAAAAGCGACAACCTAAAATTAAAAAGTTTGACAATCACAACAGTTCGAAATGATGTTTCGTCGCGTGTTTCACTTCCAAGTTTTTATAGATACCTCGCATTTGTCAATCAATATAAAGCACAAGCCTCGAAGACGTGCAACGTGGTATATCTCGCGTGGCAAGCTGGCGTATGCGCGCACGCACACAACGGTCGCGCAGATTCACGAGAGAGCACAGCACACCAACCTAACCGATGCGCGGTTCGAGTACGACTGAGCAAGCCGACTACAGCTCGGCGAGCCGAAAGCCACGAGCCGCGTCAGCCGACCGGCGACGACGGACCAATCAGCGCTGTCCTTCGCGCAAGCAGACGGATACACAATGATTGACCATATGTTCGCGTAATTCTCACTTTTATGCGTAATTCTCACTTCTCATATGAACGGAGCTTCGTATAAATTAATCATGTCTTAAAATTAAATATTTTTAGCAGCACAAGCTTTTATAAAAATAAGAATTTATCAAAATTTTTGCTTTTTGCTTTTGCTTAAACGGTTATAAATTAAAGTAGTTGTAGGAGTAGGATTTGAATCGCCCTCTAGCTACCGAAAAATCTTACTCCCTACTCCTTGTCTCACCGTGAGAGACCGGCGATACCAAGAATTCGGACGACGATTCCGAGCAGTCGAAATCGAGACATTGTACAAATAAGAAGCTAAAATAAAGAATTGATCGAAGCACGGTATAGTTTCTTGACGCCTGTCTGTTAAAGTTAAAAGAGAATTGATAAATCGGAAAAGCCTCATCGTAAATAGGCAACCTGACAGATCGTGAATCGGAATTGACTCGCGAGTTGAATATTCGTAAAAGACGCCCTACAGTTTTTCTCAGAAGTGGAATCGAAGCTCGCGGAGTTGATAATAACGAACAATTGATTTTGCATCGCGGTTGTGTTTCGCGTTATTGATTGGGACGCGTTGCGCGAATTGCGATTACGGCGTGCGGATCGTTACCTGCAATCGAAGGGCGGGATCGACACTGTGTGTTTTGCATAAATTGACCGTTATCGAGATGTCGAAAGAGCCGTCAGATATATCGTTGTGCAACTACACCGTTGTGCAGTTAAAAGAGAAGCTCAAATCGATGAAGCTTAATACGACAGGCACTAAGGATGAACTAATATTAAGATTATCGAAGGCCGATTCGAGAATATGGGAAAAAATGACGACAATGGAGACAGAGGACGTGGAGAGCGATGAGGACACACCGGGCTCCCCATCGGAAGCTCGGAATATGCAGAATGCATCCGTCATTGAGGCAATCCCCGAGCACGTAAGGCGAGAACTTGAATTACTCCGCCGAGAAAAAGCGGTGCTGGAAAGAGAATTGCAGCTGGCGAATCGAGAGGCCGGTGAGGCACGATCAAACTTGCGAACGTCCGTTGAGTCTGTTGATAGTGGGCAGAGCTCACGAACAAATATCAATATTAATAACATCGGCGGACTCATCGGCGAGTTTCAAGGTTCCAACGACTCATTTCAAACATGGGAGAAACAAATCGAGCTGCTTCGAAGAACATATGCCTTAAACGATGATATGACAAAAGTTCTAATCGGCTCTAAATTGAGAGGAAAGGCGTTACGATGGTTTCATTCGAGGCCGGATCATTTGGAAATGACCGTAAATGAATTATTAAGAGAGATGAGAGCGATCTTCGATCATAGACCGAGCAGGCAGATGCTACGCAAAGAATTTGAGCAACGGATCTGGCGGGGCAGTGAATCGTTTGCCGACTATTACCACGATAAAATTGTTTTGGCGAATCGCGTACTGATTGATGAGAGCGAAGTCCTTGACTGTGTCATCGATGGCATACCCGACTACCAGTTGTGTAATCACGCAAGAATGCAGCGCTTTGGTGCGGCGTCGGAGTTATTGGAGGCTTTCAAAAAAATCACGCTTCGACCCGAAACAAAAGAACGTTCCGTATCGGGCACTAAGAGTGGCAGAGGGTCAAGGGAGCCGAAGGTCACTAATCGCGTGGACGAGTCGTCCTCAGGGTACCGGCCGATCATCAGATGCTATAATTGCAGCGGACTGGGTCATTTGTCAGCGGATTGTACGCGACCGCGGCGTGCGAGAGGTGCGTGTTTTAGTTGCGGATCGATGGAACATCGCATCGAAAATTGTCCAAAAAAGAAAGTGCCGCCGGAGAATACCGCGAATTTGGTGCAGCTTGCGCCCGTGACGGTGCCTTATCAGCTGTCCGTCGAATATTCCGTCGAAAAGGAAGGTGGTAACGAATGCCGGTATAACCTTGCGGCGATTGTAGATTCGGGCTCACCGGTTAGCTTAATAAAAAGCGCGTACGTGCCCGAGTGCATGCGATCTGACGTCGAACCGAGTAGTTGCGAGTTTCGCGGTATTAACGGAACGAAATTAATAGTCTTGGGCGTATTTGCGCGGGAAG